AAGATACACAGAGCGAAAGAAAAAGAAGAAAAAAAATAAGGGAGCTACTAATACAACTAAAAAAGAACGGGGAACTCTCGACTACCTACTAGCCAACTACCCTAATCTTCGACCTCCACACCCTTCTATCCTGGATCATGTCTTCAGTGAGATGAAATAGCGTCATATCCTGCCTAATCACCTCTCTCCAATACTTTTTTGGCCTTCCTCTACCCCTTCTCAGCCCCGCCACGGCCAACCTTTCACACCTCCTAATAGGAGCATCCGTACTCCTGCTCTGCACGTGCCCGAACTATCTCAGCCTCAACTCCCGCATCTTGTCCTCCACGGGGGACACTCCAACTTTGTCCCGAATAACTTCGTTCCTAATCTTATCTCTTCTGGTATGCCCACACATCCATCTCAGCATCATCATTTCTGCTACTTTCAATCTCTGAACATGGGAGTTCTTGACTGGCCAACACTCATCCCCATACAACAAAGTAGGTCTAACCACCACTATGTAGAACTTACCCTAAGTCTTGGTGTCACCTTCTTATCACACAAAATACCGGATGCGGGCCTCCATTTTATCCACCCCACACTGATACGGTGGGAGACCTCATCATTAATATCCCTGTTACCCTGGATTATAGACCCGAGATACTTGAAACTACCCCTCCTCGGGATGGCTTGGGTATCAAGCTTCACATCCACGTCCGCTTCATGAGTCCCGTCACTAAACTTACACTCCAAGTATTCCGTTTAACCACAGCCACTATAGACTAAGGGTATTATTTATATCACTCAACCAACAGTGAGCTAGAACAGAGAAAAATATGCTAATAATATGAGAACTTAAAAAGTTAAAAGTGTCAAGAACAAGTACAAAAACTCAAGCGAGTATTAGCACAATTAATCTACTTGAAGAGACAGATGTAACATGCAAGGTTGAATTGAATATAAGGCACTACCAATAAAGAAAATATGCTAAGAAATATGAAAACTTAACGAGTTAACGGTGTCAAGAACAAGTTCCAAAAAACAAGAAAACAAGCTCAAGCACGTGCTAGCGCAATTAATCTACCTAATGATACAGATGTAAAAAGCAAGGTTGAATTTAATACCCGGCACTACCAATACAGAAACAGATATATGTAACAGAGAACTCTGGCACGATATTGAATATGCAGTTTCTGATTTGTGCTTTATTTTGCTTTACTTATTTTTATTAGCTCCTATTCATCCTCTATGATTGGGCGCACTTAGTAAGAGCTGTATTAGGCCCCCAAATTCCCTTTTCTTTCTCCTTCTTTTGTTTGATTGGTTTTCCTTTTTCCTAGCAAACTGTGAGAGAACAGTATTATCCAATAAGATCTAATAGTTTTAAGATTGGAAAAACGTTAAATGAAGTAAAACAGGATGACGATCACGCTGTACAGTTCAATACCTCTTTATTCCTTTTTTAAACTTCTGTGAAAAAATATGCTACCAATAAAGAAAATATGCTAAGAAATATGATAACTTAACGAGTTAACGGTGTCCAGAACAAGTAAAAAACAAGAACAAAAACTCAAGCACATGCTAGCGCAACAGAGAATAAACCGACTAAAAAATTGCAACGAAAAATGGAGAGATAGTTACTGGAAATCGGAGAGCTGGCCGGAAGTTTGGTGGTTGATTCCGCCTGAAAATCCTAGGTAGTGGTCACCGGAACTCTGCTTGGAGAAGTCGTCGGTTCTGAGGTCGCCGGCGGTGAACTAATACGCGGTTACCTGTGGCCGCAGAGACTGCAAACGGGAAAGAAGAAAGAGACGGGAGGGAGGAGAAAAGAAAGGGGAGAAGGCCGCCGGAAAATAGTCGCCGGCCGTGCCGGGCTACCCTTAATTAGGGTTTAAAAACTTAAAGAAAGAAAGATATGAAGAAGAGAAAAGAGGCGAGGCGGGAAGTTTGAATAAAGTATCCTCTAAGTGCAGGTCTCGAAGTTAGACCCGATGATTTAAATTTGTAAAATAAAACAAGAGCTAAAGCTTTGATATTATATTAGTCACGTGGAAACTAATTTCATAGGGGAGCAAGAAAATGATCCAGGGACTAAAGCAATTAGACTCTAGAATAATCACGATGCGACATTCAAAGACGAATGATCTCAAACGGGGAGAATGTTATGCCCTATAAGTTTACATGATTAAATTTCGATAATTACAAACTTAATGATGTAATTTAATTGATTCTGAGGGGGATACGGACCCCACGAGGACGAGAATATATTGGGGTGTGGTAACATATACTAGATCTCACGTGTGGAGTTAAATTGGAGAATTAATTAAAACTGCTGGTGGTCATATTGTAAATTTTTGGTTGGATAATTATGTGAAATTGATTAATATTAAAGGTGAAAGAAAATGGTCCATTGTCCAACCCAATTTCTGGCTCACAATATGATAAGTTAAGGCAATAGAACATTGCCTTTCATAGGAAAATACACTAAGTTGCCGTAGCCACCCGGTTGAGAAATGGAAGCTTTCTGCAACTCAAGGAATGCCAAATACTTACAACTCTTCTTTTAGGATTTAAATATGGGAGCTTCATAAAGGGGTTTAGGGATGGAGTTTTGGCAGCAAACCTTGTGCTTTAATTCATTATGAAAAGCAATTACAACTCCATCAAAAAGAAAATGATCGAAGCAATTGCAAAGGAAATTTTGGGGTTAATCTGATGGGGGCATTAAGAGGAAATATAGCTGGTATTGTACTCGTACCAGTGGACTAATTTTTTTAGAGATGTTACTGGAGGAAGAGGCGCCTACTATGGTCAACAAAAGAGGTTAAGAGGAATCTTTCGGTATTATCCACAATTATAAGCATTGACATCGTGAATAGCATATCAGATGACTTGAAGAACGTGAGCATCGAGTTTGAGCTGGGAAGCTTTGAGGTAAGTTTTAAGGATTACGCTCCTAATAGGAATTCCATTAGAGCGAACATGCTTCTATGTATTCGTTGAAATTTCTAAGCCATATCTGCTTATGCTCCAGTACTTAGTTCACTCTATTCTTATTTAGTATGACTTTATATGCAATGTGTCAGTCTTATACATGCTTATATGTATCATTGTTTGCTGTGTGCCTTTGGTTGTGATATTTACATTTAGTTTCAACACTCATTTATGTTTTAATGTGATCACATTCGGAAGGGAGAACTAGCCGACCTCCCCTTGCATGAGTGCTTTGATGCCAGGCTTAGCTATCCCACGCTCGTAGGGGCTATTATTTGCTGGGGAGATAGGCCGACACTCCCCCGTGCGTGTTGCTAGTTCTCACGTACGTAGGATCATTATGTATAACTATTTTCCAGAAAAGTTATTTCTTTGAAGCTAACTTTGTTACGGGCTTCAGTTTCATGAGTTATCAGTTATAAACTCAGTTTCCATATTTTCAGTTATCATCTTATAGTTCTGCTTATAGTTTCAGTTTCTAGCTCATTTCTTGTTTACAGATTTTATTGCCATGATATTATGTGAACCCCCATCCTTTCATATTATGATTTTTCCCAGAAGGTCTTGTTCTATCTTTTAGTGGGTATCCAATAAAACTTACTAGGTATCCTTTGGTGGTACTTAGCCTGTTTGGGCCTGCCACGTTGTGTGGGAGGGGTTGAGATTGTAGGTGACGAGATACATGGCTAGAGACAGACTCCGTGGACTTAGTTGGCGAGCCCTATTGGTTCTTCATCGGTGGTCGGATTTCTTCAGCTTATGTTATTTTATTTTGGCACATTATTGTTCAATGCCTTATAGTTTATGTATTCAGATTTAAATCATTAGAGGCTCATGACTTAGTTTAGTGTGTAACTCAATTATCAGATAATTGATTTAATGTAGTTTTAGTTATTTTGATTTGTTGCACTTAATGATATTTATGGTATTTACACTCGGTACAGATTAATTACAGGTTCACTCGATGACCAGTTAGAGTTGGGTGCCAATCACATCCCACCCAAGCTTGGGGGCGTAACAAGTTGGTATCAGAGCTACTCTTGTGTCAGCCTTGACGATGGTAGGTTAGAGTTCAACTGAGTTTAGGTAAATCCCGGTTAGGTGGGGCAAACCTCAGTGCTGAGTCTAGGCGAATCCCATGCGGTGGAGCAAACCTCAGCGTGGATGTTGAGTCCATAAAAGGGGGTGTATAACATCCCAAACTTTAGACAGAGTTCCACATCGGCAAAATACAAGAGGGATGCTGGGTATATAAGTTAACAAGCCTTAAACTCTAGTGGCGCATTTTAAACCCGTGATGGGCCTAGGCCTGGAGCGGACAATATCACTGGCGTGCTGGGATGTTATAGATGGATATTGATTATCACAAATCATGATGTACTTTCTACTTTCTTGAAATGATAATCAGAAACAACTACTACATGCTACATGTGTATGTTAACTCTACCAAAGTTTCTAGAAATTTTGAGAGTTAGCCAAAGTTTGAGTTTAAAAAAAAATGGAAGTATGGCACAAGGCCTTAGGTTCCTATTTTAGATCATGTACGAGTTGGGCTTGACAATCGAGGATGAATGTCCCTAGAGTGGGGGAAAATATGAAGTCCCGAGCTAATTGAACACTCCTAAAAGCCTTGAATTAACACTCGTCCGATGATGATTATAGGGGATTAAATTTCTATGTCCCAAGACGATATGGATGCACAAGTAAGTGTTAGGAGGCCATTTGGAACTCAGTTGAATGGACGGAATAACTTTTAAGTTGCAAATCCATGCTTGATTTTGTCTAAGAGAAGTATACAATGTATGTGTACATTTCTCTCCTAATATCAATGGTGGCAGCCACTTTGTGTCTTAAACAATTGGATTTTTGATATTATTATATACAGAAAGGAAAATGGGACAATTCCTAGTAAGGTTAAGGATGCAAGTTTGGTGAAGGTCATGGTATAAAACCTTATTAATGGAGGCTAAGCCTCTGCTTGGTCGTTTTAAAGAGACCCACGCAGCATATTCTTCAGTTTTCCAATAATGCTGCGACGACAATGCTTAGAAGGATTTTAATGAGTGAGACAACGTATATTTGCGCTTATGCAATGAGAGAATTTAGAACTTTTGTGATGGTTTAAGATTTAGTTTGCAATAGAAAACAAGAGCTAAAGCTTTGATATTATATTAGTCATGTGGCAACTAATTTCATAGGGGAGCAAGAAAATGACCAAGGGACTAAAGCAATCAGACTCTAGAATAATCATGATGCGATATTCGAGGACGAATGATCTCAAACGGGGAGAATGTTATGCCCCATAAGTTTACATGATTAAATTTTTGATAATTACAAACTTAATGATGTAATTTAATTGATCCGTAGGTGGATACAGACCTCCATGAGGACGAGAATATATTGGGATGTGGTAACATATACGAGATCTCAGGTGTGGAGTTAAATTGGAGTATTAATTAAAACGGCTGGTGGGCATACTGCAAATTTTTGGTTGGATAATTATGTGAAATTGATTAATATTAAAGGTGAAAGAAAAGGGTCCATGGCCCAACCCAATTTCTGGATCACAATATGAAAAGTTAAGGCAATAGAACATTGCCTTTTATAGGAAAATACCCTAAGTTGCCGCAGCTACCCGGTTGAGTAAGGGAAGCTTTCTGCAACTCAAGGAATACCAAATACTTACAATTCTTCTTTTAGGATTTAAATATGGGAGCTTCATAAAGGGAATTAGGGATGGAGTTTTGGCAGCAAACCTTGTGCTTTAGTTCATTATGAAAGAAGCAATTATAACTCCATCAAAAGAAAATGATCGAAGCAATTGCAAAGGGTATTTTGGGGTTAATCTATGGTGGCATTAAGAGGAAATATAGCTGGTATTGTATTCATACCAGTGGAATAATTTGTTTAGAGATGTTATCGGAGGAAGAGGCACCTACTCCGGTCAACAAAAGAGGATAAGAGAAATCTTTCAGTATTAGCCGCAATTATAAGCATTGACATCGTGAATAACATATCAGATGACTTGGTGAGCAGCGAGTTTGAGCTGGGTAGCTTTGAGGTAAGTTGTAAGGATTACTCTCCTAATAGGAATTCCATTAGAGCGAACATGCTTCAATGTATTCGATGAAATTTCTAAGCCATATCTGTTTATTTTCAGGTACTTAGTTTACTCTATTCTTATTTAGTATGACTTTAAATACAATGTGTCAGTCTTATATATGCTTATATGTATTATTATTTGCTGTGTGCCTTTGGTTGTGATATTTATATTTGTTTCAACACTCATTTATGCGTTAATGTGATCACATTCAGAAGAGAGAGCTAGCCGACCTCCCCTTGCGTGAGTGCTTTGATGCCAGGGTTAGCTATCCCACGCTCGTAGGGGCAATTATGTGCTGGGGAGATAGGTCGACACTCCCCCGTACGTGTTGCTAGATCTCACGTACGTAGGGCCACTATGTATAACTATTTTCCAGAAATGTTATTTCTTTGAAACTTACTTAGTTTCCAGCTTCACTTTCATGAGTTAATAGTTATAAACTCAGTTTCCATGTTTTCAGTTATCAACTTACAATTTTGCTTATAGTTTCAGTTTCTAGCTCATTTATTGTTTACAGAATTTATTGCCATGATATTATCTGAACCCCCTTCCTTTCATTTTATGATTTTCCCAGAAAATCTTGCTCTATCTTTTAGGGGTAGCCACTGAGATTTACTGGGTATCCTTTGGTGGTACTTAGCCTGATTGGGCCTGCCACGTTGTGTGGCAGGTGTTGAGATTGTAGGTGACGAGATACGTGGCTAGAGACAGACTCCGTAGACTCAGTTGGCGAGCCCTGTTAGTTTTTCATTGGTGGTCGGATTTCTTCAGCTTATGTTATTTTTTTTGGCACATTATTTATTCAATGCGTTATAGTTAATGTATTCAAATTTAAATCATTAGAGGCTCATGACTTAGTTTAGTGAGTTATGGTTCAGAGCTCAACTGTGTTAGAATCATGTAACTTAGTTATCAGATAATTGATTTAATGTAGTTTTAGTTATTTAAATTTGTTGCACTTAATGATATTTATGGTATTTACACTCGACAGGGATTAATTACGGGTTCTCTCGACGACCAGTTAGAATTGGGTGCCAATCACATTCCACTAAGTTTGGGGGCGTGACACATTTAGTCTCCATCTCACTCAAAAAGATCTTTTTTACTCGCTCAAGACTCATATCTTAAGATGGCTCTGAAATCAATTATTGATTTTTTAAAAAAGTTGAGAGTATACATGAAATAACAAAGGAAAACAAAAGAATTGACAGAAGTGCACACGTAGATACATCCAAGGGGATTTTGGTAGTATGAGTGAGCTAATATATCTTGCATTAAACTTGAATCTTCTCGGTGTTATTGCTGTATACGGGTGAAACCGGACCCATGAGACGACCTAGTTTCCGATAAAATAGATCGAGTAAGGGACATGATGACAAGGAGATAGAATCGAGGTAAGGGACTCATCGAGATAGGTTTCGGGGGCACGACGCCCGCCCTTGAGAATATCAGGGTCGTGACCCCGGTATCGATCCAAATCTTAAAAGACTTCAGAGAGTATTATCNGTTGCTGTATACGGGTGAAACCGGACCCATGAGACGGCCTAGTTTCCGATAAAATAGATCGAGTAAGGGACATGATGACAAGGAGATAGAATCGAGGTAAGGGACTCATCGAGATAGGTTTCGGAGGCAGGACGCCCGCCCTCGAGAATATCGGGGTTGTGACCCCGGTATCGATCCAAATCTTAAAAGACTTCAGAGAGTATTATCGGGCGACCAAACATGGTTAAAGGGAGGCCGTGATATCCGTGACCGGCCGGGTATTGCGGCGTGGATATCGGCAAATGGGACAATTCCTAGTAAGGTTAAGGATGCAAGTTTGTTGAAGGTCATGGTATAAAACCTTATTAGTGGAGGCTAAGCCTCTGCTTGGTCGTTTTGAAGAGACCCACGCAGCATATTCTTCATTTTTCCAATAATGCTGCGACAACAATGCTTAGAAGGATTTTAATGAGTGAGACAACGTATATTTGCGCTTATGCAATGAGAGAATTTAGAAATTTTGTGATGGTTTAAGATTTAGTTTGCAATAGAAAACAAGAGCTAAAGCTTTGATATTATATTAGTCATGTGGCAGCTAATTTCATAGGGGAGCAAGAAAATGACCAAGGGACTAAAGCAATCAGATACTAGAATAATCACGATGCGATATTCGAGGACGAATGATCCCAAACGAGGAGAATGTTACGCCCCATAAGTTTACATGATTAAATTTTCGATAATTACAAACTTATTGATGTAATTTAATTGATCCGTAGGTGGATACGGACCTCCACGAGGACGAGAATATATTGGGA